TAACAGGTTAGATCTGCAGGCAGTTTTGTATCATTCTTCTACATGGCAACTGTCTTGAGGGTTTACTCTCAGTATGGCATCATATGCCAGACGAGAGAAACATTTGTTTTCATTTTTGATTGCATTTTCTTTCAAATATCTAAAAAACCCAAGTTGTCTGGAAAGCACATATCCACTAATTGCCTCTCTATATGTCATCTGTTTTCTTAGAACAAAACAAATATGTTTTTTAAGTGAGAAATATGAATATAGTATCGTAATGTTGTTAGTACCATAATGGTGTCAGAAAGTGGGACATGAGTTTAGGGGAAGATTTCTTACATGCATCATAAATTTCAGGCTGTGGTCAGTCTTCTGGGGTCTGAGTACCCAAAACTATCTTTGAAACTGCGAGCAGATGTGATAAAAGGACTGAGAGATAAATTGACAGTCCTTGAGCACTGGCTGTATAACTTCTCTGTGATCTCCCTCTCTCAGCTTGAGGCAAAGTCCTGCTTTGTGTGGTAAAGAGTTACAACCAGGATGGTTTACATTGATACCCCTGCACACCCCACATGTGCTACCTCAGTTCCCAGGTGCAGCACAGCAAGAGGACTTCTGTGCCCACTATGGAATGGGTTCCTACAACTTCCAGCTGCAGAGCTGGATCATTTGGAGGTACCTTGGAGATCCATCACAATGGTCTCAGTGTGTCCAGCCTTGTCCATCTGAGTGGGGAACAATGCCCAGACTCTGGAACTTTCATGTAGAAGATACACTTAGTCTTCTTCCATACAGCAAAGAAGTTTAAATTTACAAATATTTCAGGGAAAAAAAAAACAACAAAGAAACAAGCAACAGCATCAAGAACAAAACCCAAATCCAACAGATGTCTGTCAACTACCTCAATATTTATTCTGATTATGAAAGAAACTCTCATTGCTTAAGCTGAGGTTTAATCCCCTTTGCATACTTTTTTTTTATCTATTCAGTAAGAGCCTTTCTATAGCTGTTTTTATCTATTCGGTGTTCTTCTTTCCATGGCTGGCCCAGGATCTCCTTGCAGCATTGCTGTTCATTGTTTTCAAGGTCCTTATGTGCATCTGCATAGGTATTTCAAGGGCATTCACTTCCAGCAGAGACTAGTGGAGTCATTCGTCTGCTACATTACACATCAATAAATGCTGAAAAACCCAATTTAACATTATTTTGGCTGACCCTTAAAAGCAGACTGCCTCTGCTTTATAAGAGATGAAAAGGAAATTATCTGAAATAAAAGGCTTGCAGGAAAATGTTTGGAACAGATCAGACCACTTGTGGCAGTTTTCATCTTGAGGGATGTCTGTTGTCTTACAGGTGATTTGCTTTTAGAAAGAAAAAGTATTTGGCACTATGACTCAAGTTACAAGCAGCTCTGAGCTGAAAAAAATCCAATAGCAAAAAAAACCCAAAAAAACAAAAAAAAGCAAAAGCTGTGCAGCAAGAAAAGCAGGCTATAGACATAAATACTTCTCTCTTACTAGTGTGTCATAAAATAGTGGAAGACTTTAGACAAAGTTGTGGAAGAGATTGTATTTTTATCCTGTGTTTGTGCAGAATTGGCACAATAGGGTTTAATCCATGGTATATACCATGATTGGTACATGTACATACCATACAGAGATTGCGTCTAGACTCATATTCTAGGAAGTCCTATAGGATCCTAGTCCTCTGATTTTTCCAGGTCAAGGAACTGGTTGGAGTCATTTTAACATTCTTCTGCCCTGTTTGCCAGTGCTACTTTTTCCTGGAAGGACAGATGCAAGGAGGAGAGGGTTGAAGAACAAAGATAGATAGGATCTGGATGAGCCCTGGACATGTCTTTTCATCATGGTTTAATCTTAATGTACACACAGCTGTACAGAAAAACAGTCCTCCGCTGCA